AGATGTTGTAGATCCAGAACAAGCTTATTTACAAACTCCAGAGGAAGCACTTGGATCAACACAAAAGGTTGTTGAAGTACAGCTTTATTTTGTTGAGCTTCCGCATGAACAACTTGCTTCAAAAGCAGATCCACAATTTGTCGCTAGAGTCACACATGAATTACTCTAGCATTATTTAGTTGAATCACAATAAGATTTACTTGTAGTACCACAAATACAATCCGATGTTGTAGATCCTGAACAAGCTTATTTACATACTCCAGATGTAGCGGCAATATCTACACAATAAGTCGTGGAGTTGCATTCTACCGAATCTCCTCCGCAATGACATGAATTGGAATTTAAATTTGAAGTACATTTTTATTCACATACTCCAGCTGAAGCTGATATATCAACACAAACCTAGGTTGAACTACAAGCAACTATGGTAGATGTTCCACATATGCAATTTGATTTTTTTGAAGAGGTACACATCTAAATTGTACATTTTGAATCAACCCATTCATAGGGTTAAACACAACTTGATTATGGCCTATATCGAATTGGATAGCAATTATCAAGACATCCAATATAATTATTGCAAGAGGAGCTGTTTATTCCACCACAATTTACACACTATAAACTTGTGGAAAGACCACATCCTGATTGAATGCATGATGCCGTTGGTACACTGGGACAATCTGTACAAGCTAAATTATACCAACCACACATATCCATACAATCTCCTTCTGTTCCCCAATCTGAACATTTATAGCAACTTGTATTTGCAGGCCACCAACCACAACCTGATTCTGCATCGCAAATTGTTGGATCAGTTGAAGCACATTAAGCCATTGCTTATTATAGAGTCAAACAAACAAGAACTAATGAAATCATAGAGGACTTTTAAAAATTCATATTAATGTTTTCAAAAAAAAGAATTTGAAGATATGAAGAAGGGATTTAATTAATTGATATTAATTTTTCTAGTACTAGTAAGGTTAGTCAAGGGATACACAAAGTTAAGAAGGTTTCAAACCAATCATATTAATTATTAGTGTTGTAATCATTTTAATCATTTTATATAATATTAAATATTTTGGTGAATTAATTTCATTAAATTGGTGGATTATCAATTAAAATTTTTGTTTTTGAAATTTCAATTGCATTGGGACCTAAAAATTATGTAAATACTATAAATTACTTAATCCTTCATTTATTCAAATCAATTTTTTTTTGTGCTCAAATATGATTGATTTATAAAGTAACATTAGATATTAAATAAATTTAATTTAAGTCTTTCCAAATTTTATTTTCCAATACTTTTTTACTCTTCCATTAAAGATCCTAAATTTTGTATTCCTCAAGCTCTTTCTATGAGAATCTTTGTAAAATAGAGAATTTATCAAATCTTAATTTAAATTCTTCGATTAGAATATTCTTAAATTATATATTCTTTCATTAATTGATTAAGTTCAGATTATCCTCTAGATGTTGAAAAAATTGAGAATATCATTTAAAAGTTATCCTTAAATCATAAAAATTCAAAAGTTCCTTTTATGAAAATTTAAATAATTGAGAAAAGCTCCCATTATATTTCATAATTGATTGATTTAGTTTCTAAGATTAATAGATTGATTTATCTTACTAATTCTATTCATTCTAAGAAAACATGAAATTATTTTAATATTTAAGTATATCAATATAATTAATGTTTCTCAATAGAAATTTTATTGTAAAGTTATGTATTATTATGCAAATACAAAGATGATACTTGCATTTTTACAAAAATACGATTAAATCTCCAATTATTTACTAATCGTCCTAGTATTTAATATAATAACATAATTAATTAAAGAAGACATTAAAATCACTAATTTAATTTAAGAAAAAAATATATTCTGAATACATTTTAGTATAAACAATTAAATTCATCAAATGAAATTGACTCGCCTAAACTATTGACTGAACTTCAGAATGAATTAGAAGTTCTATTAATATAGGTGATAAATAAAAATTCTTGAAATCTTTAAAATCTTATGATAATTTAAAGAAACCCAAAATTATTGTAAAAATAATTATATTAATATAATCCAGATTAACATAACTGGATTAACTGATTTATTCCAAAGATTTAAATCACTTAAGATAAGTGATTATGGAAATTAGTATGAAATTTTAAGATTGTATTTTTACCCTAAACACATGAAGCAAGGCTAAACAAAAAAAATCAATCTTAGAAGACAACAAATGAGTTCTCATTGGGAAACTAATCCAAAATTTGACTTCTTATTATGGGTTAAGATAAAATATACAAGTGACAATAAGATATCCAGGATTAATTAGAATAAAATGTAAAAGTTGGAGAAGAAAATTTATTAATGGTTAAAGCTGATTAAAGAGCTTTATCATTATTATTAAGATAAGAAATTTGTTCTGATATTTGATAATAGCCTTATTCACAAAAGTAAGAAGGTATAAAAATTTTTAATGGCAGTTAATACAAATATCTTTGCCTTTCTATCCTCCATAATCAATCCAATAGAAAAATGTGGCATAAACTAAAGGTTTACTTTGAAAATTATAATTATACCAAATATTCTTTTAGAGGCATTCCAGATTTTCTAGCATTTATTGCTCCTATTTAAATAAATTATTTCCTAAAAAAGAATTTTGATATGAATTAAATTTATTTGAACATATAAATAGATAATCAATCAAATTTTTAGTATAAAGATTCAAGTTAAAAAAACTTAGTTATTTTTTTCCTCCTTTGAATAATTTATAATTGAAAAATTTTATACTCAGACAATTAATACTATCTTCAGTGGGAAATATATTCTTTATAGTCCAACACATTATAATTAAAATTTAGCATTAAGTTAAGCCCAAATAATGCAGGAAATAATCAAAATTCATAAAAATATTTTGCAATGACTCCAAAAGTTTCTTTAATTGGTAATTGATTCAAACCAAATAGGTTAAAGGTCAATTATGAGTTCAACAGTGCCTCTATATTTTGATATTCTAATATTGATATTATTAATATAGGATTTCGAATTAAGTCAGCACCAATCCTTAAATTTATAATTATTTCTTGAATTGATTAAATAGTATAGTTGTGTAACCTATTGCTATTTAAAAAAAAAAAAATTTCAAAAGAACAATTTTAAGCAATTTTTTAAATGAAATCAGTTTCATCTAAAAAATTTGATTATAGATATATATTACAATAAATTTATTTGATAAAGATAATTAATCATTGAATTAATTAGATATTTTAAGATTTTAAATATCTGATAAGTTTTGATGTTTGATTTAATCATTACTACTAATATATTATATATTTTTTAAAACATTATTATAGTGTAATAATTAGATTTACAATCAACTTTATAAAAGAATATTATTAACAGATTTTCCAATTTTGATTTCAGTCTTTGATATACATTTTCGAACTCAATTTGAGACTTCTTTTAAATACTATTAATAAATAAATGTTATATATTTAATATTTTATAATGGATACATATAATCTCAGATAATATTGAATAGGCAAATTATTGCAAATAGCCCTAGATTGATTATTCTGGAATAATCTACTTTTAAAAGTTCTAAATACTATTTGCATAAGCCTACTTGTTGATTTGGATCTGAACATGTCTAATTTTCATGACAATACTAGGACTTTTCTTATCCGCAATAACAATTTGATGTCTTGTTGCTTGTACATTTTTAAACACAACCACTTTATTATGTTTCAAGATTTTAGCATTTAAAACCAGATTAGCAAATTAACTTCTGATCTACACCTTTTTCTGTACTTCCACAATAACAATTTGTTTCACCATTTTCTTTGCAAGTTGGTACACATATTCCAGTCACATCATTATACACAGTATTAAATTAATCAAGGCAAGCTTAATTTTCAGATAATATCAAACAATTTTGATTATTTACAGAAGTACATTATTACATACAAACACCTTTTGGTTACAATAAACAATATTTAGATGATTAGCAAATTTCGATGGAATCAATTCCACATATACAATTATTTTAATATTATTGACATTTTTCCAAACATTTTCCTTTAAATGATAAAAAGCCTATGCAATATTAATTCTATTTGCAATGTGCTTGATTAGTGAAACCACAAGTACAATTTGATTAAAATTATGATGTACAAGTACCTAAATTACAAATTCCATTATCTGCATATGGATCAACACATTTTTCACCATTTGAACAAACCTATTTTATCTTATTTCCACATATACAATTTGATTATTAATAACTAGAACACTATTCTAAACAAATTCCTTCTTATTTTGATGAACAATAAGTTGTAGATGAGCATTATGAATATAATGATGTTCCACAAACACAATTACTTTAGAATTCATCACATTATTATATACAAGTACCTGTAAGTTATTTAAAATCATGGCAATGTTCATTAACACTACAAAAAGGAGTTACTGAATTACCACATAAACAATTTGTTTATAAATTATTTTGACATTTTTCTATACAATTTCCATTTTAATCATTAGGATTCTAACATACTTAAGTTTTAGAACAGGCTATTTTATTAATTGAACCACAAATACAATTAGATTTTTAATTTTGATTACAATATTATAAGCAAACTCCTGTTGAATCACTTACATTAGTACAGTAAGTAGATTCAGAACAAACAGAAATCTAAGTTGTTCCACATTAACAAGAATTATCAAAATTATTAATACAATTTGGTATTGTTATACAATTACCAGTACTTGCACTTGGATCTGCACATGTTTATTAATTAGAACAACCTTATTTTGAAACTGTTCCACAAATACAAGATGATCTAATACTATTAGTACAATTATTATAACATTATCCAGAAGTAGCTGAAGCATTCAAACAATATTTAGAATTATTACAATTAATAAATTGATTTTATCCACAAGAACAATTATTTTAAAAATTGGTAGTACATATATTCAAACAATTACCTGAACTTGCCATTTGATCTTCACATCTCTGTGTTGAATTACAATATGATAGAGTTGTTGATCCACAGATACAATCATTAACTGTTGAGCCTTAGCATTTATTAACACAAATTCCATTTGCTGCACTTGGATCTTTGCAATAAGTATTGGAACTACATTATTATTTTATTGAGATTCCACAAGCACAATTGCTTTAATTGATTGATGAACAATTTATAATTGATACACATGCATCACTTTAACATTATTTAGTTGAATCACAATAAGATTTACTTGAAGATCCACAAATACAATCCGATGTTGTAGATCCTGAACAAGCTTATTTACATACTCCAGAGGAAGCACTTGGATCAACACAAAAGGTTGTTGAAGTACAGCTTNTCAAGGCAAGCTTAATTTTCAGATAATATCAAACAATTTTGATTATTTATTGAAGTACATTGTTACATACAAACACCTTTGGATTATAGTAAACAATATGTAGATGAAAAACATATGTCAACAGAATCTATTCCACATAAACAATTATTTTAATTTTATTGACATTTTTCCAAACATATACCATTAAGTGCTCCAAAATCTAAACAATATGAATTCTATTTGCAATGTGCTTGATTAGTGAAACCACATGTACAATTTGATTAAAATTATGATGTACAAATACCTAAATTACAAATTCCATTATCTGCATATGGATCAACACATTTTTCACCATTTGAACAAACCTATTTTACCTTATTTCCACATATACAATTTGATTATTAATAACTAGAACAGTATTCTAAACAAATTCCTTATTGTTTTGATGAACAATATGTTGTAGATGAACAATATGAATATAATGATGTTCCACAAACACAATTATTTTAGAATTAATTACATTATTATACGCAAGTACCTGTAAGTTATTTAATATCAAGGCAATGTTCATTTACACTACAAAAAGGAGTTACTGAATTACCACATAAACAATTTGTTTATAAATTATTTTGACATTTTTCTTTACAATTTCCATTTTAATCATCAGGATTCTAACATACTTAAGTTTTAGAACAGGCTATTTTATTAATTGAACCACAAATACAATTAGATTTTTAATTTTGATTACAATATTATAAGCAAACTCCTGTTGAATCACTTACATTAGTACAGTAAGTAGATTCAGAACAAACAGAAATCTAAGTTGTTCCACATTAACAAGAATTATCAAAATTATTAATACAATTTGGTATTGTTATACATTAACCAGTACTTGCACTTGGATCTGCACATGTTTATTAATTAGAACAACCTTATTTTGTAATTGTTCCACAAATACAAGATGATTTAATATTATTTGTACAAATATCATAACATTATCCAGAAGTAGCTGAAGCATTCAAACAATATTTAGAATTATTACAATTGCTAAATTGATTTTATCCACAAGAACAATTACTTTAAAAATTGGTAGTACATATATTCAAACAATTACCTGAACTTGCCATTTGATCTTCACATCTCTGTGTTGAATTACAATATGATAGAGTTGTTGATCCACAGATACAATCATTAACTGTTGAGCCTTAGCATTTATTAACACAAATTCCATTTGCTGCACTTGGATCTTTGCAATAAGTATTGGAACTACATTATTATTTTATTGAGATTCCACAAGCACAATTGCTTTAATTGATTGATGAACAATTTATAATTGATACACATGCATCACTTTAACATTATTTAGTTGAATCACAATAAGATTTACTTGAAGATCCACAAATACAATCCGATGTTGTAGATCCTGAACAAGCTTATTTACATACTCCAGAGGAAGCACTTGGATCAACACAAAAGGTTGTTGAAGTACAGCTTTATTTTGTTGAGCTTCCACATGAACAACTTGCTTCAAAGGTAGATCCACAATTTGCCGCTAGAGTCACACATGAATTACTCTAGCATTATTTAGTTGAATCACAATAAGATTTACTTGTAGTACCACATATACAATCCGATGTTGTAGATCCTGAACAAGCTTATTTACATACTCCAGAGGAAGCACTTGGATCAACACAAAATGTTGTTGAAGTACAGCTTTATTTTGTTGAGCTTCCGCATGAACAACTTGCTTCAAAAGCAGATCCACAATTTGTCGCTAGAGTTACACATGAATTACTCTAGCATTATTTAGTTGAATCACAATAAGATTTACTTGTAGTACCACATATACAATCTGATAATGTTGATCCAGAACAAGCTTATTTACATTATCCTGATGTAGCTGCAATATCCACACAATAAGTAGTGGAGATGCATTCAACATAATCTTCTCCACAACTACAAGAATTGGAATTTAAATTTTAAGTACATTTTTCTTAACATACTCCAGTTGAAGCTAATATGTCAACGCAAACCTAGGTTGAACTACATATCACTAAGTTTGATGTTCCACATAAACAACTTGATTTTTTTGAAGAGGTACAAGCATAAATTTAACATTTTGAATTAACCCATTCATAAGGTGTTAAACAATTCTGTTGAGTACTATATCGATTTGTATAGCATTTTCCACTATTAAGATAGCATCCATTATAGTCAGCGCAAGTTAAGCTATTTATTCCACCACAATTTATACACTAACTGCTAGTGGAAAGACCACATCCTGATTGAATGCATGATGCAGTTGGTATACTGGGGCAATATGTACAAAATGAATTATACCAACCACAAATATCTTAACAATCTGCTTCTGATTACCAATCCGAACATGCGTAACAACCTCCTTATACAGGCCACCAACCACAACCTGATTCTGCATCGCAAATTGTTGGATCATTTGAAGCACATTAAGCCATTGCTTATTATAGAGTCAAACAAAAAAGAACTAATAAAATCATAGAAGATTTTTTCAAATTCATATTAATGTTTTCTAAAAAGAAATTTGAAGATATGAAGAAGGGATTTAATTAATTTATATTAATTTTTCTGGATCTAGTTAAGTTATTCAAGAGATCAAAATTACTCAAAGTTAAGAAGACTCAAATCAATAATATTTATTATTTTTATAAAATCATATTAATCATTTTATATTATATTAAGTATTTGATTAAATAATTTCAGTAATTTAGTGGATTAACAATTAAAGTTTCTGTTTTTGATATATTCATTGCATTTAAACCTAAATATTACCTAAACGCTATAAACCACCTAATCTTTCATTTATTCAAATCAATTTTTTTTGTGTTCAAATATTATTGAGTTTATACTGTAAAATTAGATATTATATAATATATAAGTTCCTTTTATGAAAATTTAAATAATTGAGAAAAGCTCCCATTATATTTCATAATTGATTGATTTAGTTTCTAAGATTAATAGATTGATTTAATTTACTAATTCTATTCATTCTAAGAAAACATGAAATTATTTTAACATTTAAGTATATCAATATAATTAATGTTTCTCAATAGAAATTTTATTGTAAAGTTATGTATTATTATGCAAATACAAAGATGATACTTGCATTTTTACAAAAATACGATTAAATCTCCAATTATTTACTAATCGTCCTAGTATTTAATATAATAACATAATTAATTAAAGAAGACATTAAAATCACTAATTTAATTTAAGAAAAAAATATATTTTGAATACTTTTTATTATAAACAAATAAATTAATCAAATGAAATTGACTCGCCTAAACTATTGACTGAACTTCAGAATGAATTAGAAGTTCTATTAATATAGGTGATAAATAAAAATTCTTGAAATCTTTAAAATCTTATGATAATTTAAAGAAACCCAAAATTATTGTAAAAATAATTATATTAATATAATCCAGATTAACATAACTGGATTAACTGATTTTATTCCAAAGATTTAAATCACTTAAGATAAGTGATTATGGAAATTAGTATGAAATTTTAAGATTGTATTTTTACCCTAAACACATGAAGCAAGGCTAAAACCTACACAAAATTCTAGAAGATAACCAATTAGTTATCATTGGAAAAAATCCTAAATTTCACTTCTTATTATGGGTGAAGAATAAATATACAGGTGAAGATATCCAAGATTAATTAGAATAAAAGTAAAAGTTGGAGAATAAAATTTATTATTCTTCATGTCCTAGCTATCAAATTTATTAATATCTTAATTAAAAGGCTCAAAGATCAGGTGTAATACTAACAGTAATTCACTCTAGTGCAAACTGCAGTACGACAATCATTATTCTGGAATCTAAAAAAAAACGATGTCTCTTCAAGTCTCTTCAAACTTTTCCAATAGGATTAAGTTATGGGCAATAAGGAGGAATATAAAGATGACTGATTTAATTGACTATATGCTATTTGAGAAATTGTTCCTAATGAATAAATGAATTATCTAAAATAAAAAAATACATTCCTTGACCAAATATTTCATTATAAAATTAAATAAAACGAGCAATTAGAGTTTTTCGTAATATGAGCGTTTACATTTGTTTTATATATTGAAAAAAGACCAAATCCTTGTCCAATAGCACTAATTATAATTATCCTTTTGATATTTGTAATAAAATTGGAATTGAATTTTATCCAATTTTGCTCCATACCTTTTATCGATAATCATTCCCAATCCCAGTTTCATCTATATAAATTGGGTATAACTTAATCGAAATCAAAAAATATAAAAAGACAAAAATCGAATACAATGAGTTTTGCTTTTGTTATATTATAAACTATTTTTCATATATCAATTAATTTTATCCAACATTATCTGTTCCTCTAATATATTTTTTTCCTTTGTTTTTTGTTTTTCCATTTTCTCTTTTCATTTATAATCTTTATACACTTTAGCTTGACTTTTTGATCTTTTAAAAATTCTCTTTTATGATTTTCGATGAAGTGAATTGCTAATTTCTTATTGCATTCTTAATTATTTTTAGATAATTTAATATAGTTCTTGTTAAATTACTATAGACATACTTTCAGGAATTTATCGTCTAAATATATCATGATTTTCTCTTAAGGTGTGAAACACATTAATCACATGATTTATAAGGCAAATGATTTTCATCAAATCCCCAAGGTTTTGAAACATTAATTTCCTACATCAACATCCATAAATCAAGCTTCTATGCTTGCTTTAGCAGTTGACCTATTTTGATATCATATGAGGCTATTCGAAATACTTTGTTTGTCATAACTTTAAATAGATTCTGTTGTTATAATTGCACATTATCTTTTAAGAAAAAAAAACCTTTAATAATTATTGTATAATAAGTTGAATCTAATGATCCTACTGCAGTATTTGCATATTAGATTCAAATAGCCATTTCTACCCTTAATTTATAAATTAATTATAATTATTTTTTTTGAAATCACAATTTTTATTTTCAATTCAAAATTTAAATCTTGAATTAAGAAAAAATATATATTGCTGTTAATAATGAAATTCACAAAAGCATAAAGAATATACATAATTAAGAAATATTCTTCGAAGGTGTTTGTAAAACTAATTGACTGGTTAAAAAGAAATGATTTATATTCATTGACTTTAGCGATGCATTTAATACAGTAATAGAGATTTACTTTACAATATTCTTAGTAAGAAATCTATCCTTGATGCACAAGATTTATAAATATAATCTATTTCCTCCCTAAATTTCATATATCAAAACTCATCCAATGGTTAATCTTGCTCTTAAAATTTATAATCTAAAAATTCCAAATAGTTCCATGAAGCTTTTATTATGTTTAATAAATCTTTGGAATACTCATCCATAGATAAGGCTTTTAAATAAGAAAAATTAAGATTCAATCGCAACATTAAATTTTGGGATAAATAGAACATCATCTTACCTAACCAATAGGAATATTTTTATTAAATTGTATTTTAATTTCTAGCATAGATTTTTAATTTTTATGCTATAAATTAAAATCTAAAGTGGAAAATAAACAAAAATGTTTATACTAAAAAATTATTTATTCTTCTCCTCATCAAACTTTCTTAATTTTGAGAGTTGAGCTCATTTTAATACTCCAGATGTAGCTGCAATATCTACACAATAAGTCGTGGAGTTGCATTCTACTGAATCTCCTCCGCAAAGACATGAATTGGAATTTAAATTTAGATTACATTTTTCTTAACATACTCCAGTTGAAGCTGATATGTCAACGCAAACCTAGGTTGAACTACAGATCACTAAGTTTGATGTTCCACATAAGCAACTTGATTTTTTTGAAGAGGTACAAGCATAAATTTAACATCTTGAATCAACCCATTAATAAGGTGTTAAACAATTTGATGAAGAACTATATCTCTATGATAAGCATTTTTCACTATTAAGATAGCATCCATTATAATTAGCGCAAGTTGAGCTGCTTATTCCACCACAATGTATACACTAACTGCTTGTGGAAAGACCACATCCTGATTGAATGCATGATGCTGTTGGTACACTGGGACAATATGTACAAACTGAATTATACCAACCACACGTATCCATACATTATCCTTCTGTATACTAATTAGAACATTTTAAACAAAAATTTCCTGGAGGCCACCAACCACAATTTGATTCTGCATTACAAATAGTTGGATCAGTAGAAGCACATTATTAAGCCATTGCTTATTATGGTGTCAAACAAAGAAGGATTAACAAAATCATAGATGACTTTTTAATATTCATTTTAATGATTTTTAAAAAGAAATTTGAAGATATGAAGCAAGGATTTAATTAATATATGTTAATTTTTCTTGATCTAATAAAATTTTTAAAGGGACTAAAATTATTCAAATTTAAGAAGGCTCAAATCAATATTTAATTTGTTTAGCATAATCTCAGGTCGAATAATATATTATTTTTTAATTCAAATTCTCTGACTTCATTAGTGAAACCTGGTACTCATTATTGATGACGTACTAAGTTTATTACAATGTAATTAAAATTCCATAAAAAGAAGGTTCGAGAAAAGCCATCTCGTCTTTATTATCCATTACAAGTAGAAATCAGGCACGATGGCGATAAATACATGGCTTAGTTTTTGAAACTTAGTCTAAATGTCCTGGACCAAACAGTTTTGAATCAAATATTATTTTATTTAAAAAATTTCTGTATTTTAGTAGATAATCAAAAAACAATTTTTGTTATAGGTTTATCAATCACTTAAATTTTATATGTAAACTAAATGCTATAAAAACTTCCTTCATTCAAACAAGTTTTTTTTTTACAAATAAAATTTAAATAATATTTTTGTACAATTTTCTTTTTACTAAAGTTATTATTCTTCCTTTTACGATTCTAAATTTTGTACTCCTCACCCTCTTTCTATGAAAATCTTTGCAAAATATAGTACTTCTCAAATTTTAATATAAATCCTTTTTTTACAATATTAATATATTATATATTCTTTCATTAACTGATAAAGCTTAGAATATCCTCTTGATGTTGAAAAAGCTCAAAATATCATTTAAAAGTTATCCTTAATTCATAAAAATTTAAAAGTTCATTTTATGAACATTTCAATAATTGAGAAAAGCTCCCATTATATTCCATAATTTATAGATTTAGTTTCTAAGATTAATAGATTCATTTAATTTACTCATTCTATTCATTCTAAGAAAACATGAAGTTATTTTAACATTTAAGTCTTTTAATATAAATTAATTTTTTGATATAGAAATTTTAATCTAAAGTTATATTTTATTGAGTTAATACAAATATGATACTTGCATTGGTACAAATATACGATTAAATCTCCAATTATTTTCAGACGATGCTAGTTCTTGAAAAAACAAATTATATAAAAAAAACATTAAAATCATTAATTTAATTTTTTTTTAATTAATATATTTTGAATGTTTTGTTTGAATTTGGAATCAGGAAGGGTCAAGCAGAATTAGAGTCAAGAAAGTTGTTTAATCTCTTCGAGGGTGATTCCCATCTGAAACCTGCCATTCAAGTAAATATAATTGAAGCGTTGTAACAAATCTGAAATTTAAACTAATAAAGATGATAGATATACATAAAAAATTTCTCCATCAAGAACTTAATGTTGCAAAAGTAGTAATTTGAAAGGGAGTTAAGCAAAAATCAAAATAATTAGATAACTTAAATCAATGAAATGTAATTGTATCATCTTATTATAATTTAAAGAAATTCAAAATTATTGTATTTATATACAAATATATTAATCTACATTAAATTAATATAACTGGATTTACTAATTTATTCCGAAGAGTTATATCTCTAAAGATGAGTGATTATGGTGATTAGTATGAGATTATAAGATTTTTGGCTTACCCTAAACATCAGATTGCAAAGCTAAACCCAAAAAAATTTCGGTTCTAAAAGATAACTAATGAGTTTTCATTGGGAAACTAATCCTAAATTTGACTTCTTTATTCTATGTTGAGAAGAAATATACTGGTTACAATTTTATATTCAAGATTTATTAAAACTCAAAGACAAAGACAAAGACAAAGACAAAGATGAAAATTTATGATTTTATCTTGGCATAGAAATCAGACAGTTTCTTCTCTTGCCAAAAAGGTTACACCATTAGCATATATGCTGCTTTAACTAAACTTATATTAAAGATTGTGCATCATTTGGATGCTGAAGGGTTATCTAATTAGGGATATTTACATAAATTGGAATAGAATTCTAATTAAGACTAAGAAATTATTAAGAATTTTGCAAATCCAAATAGGAGTAAACTCACCTAGAACATAATTTTGAAATTATATTATTATTTATAACATCTTAAAATAATTGTTTTCTCTTATAAGACTTAAGAGATTACTAAAATTTTTTTCGAGTAAATCATTATTTCTTTATTTTAAGTTAAAAGAGCAATTTATACAAATTAGCTTTTTATAACAGCATGCTGTCCAATTGTAATTAAAAAATATAAATTTAGAAATTCCGTCTGAAGCATCTCAGAAATAAGAAAGGAATTATTATTTACCTTTAAATCTGTTGATAAGAAAGGTAGGTCAGATAATAATTATATTATAAAAAATATAGATATTTATAAGATGTGAAAGAGAGGATTATTTCTAAATGCATTTGATCTTAGTAGTAGAATTCTAAAGGCTCATTTTATTAATAATATTTGGTTTTACTCTCAATTCAAGGGGAGACAAATTATTTTTAGAATTGAGAGAAAAATTATGAAAGAATATTAATAATCTAAATCCTGTGCATTTGCCAAAATATTAAATTCAATAAAAAATCCTTTCCTTGCTTTAAAAATTTTTAACTGTTAAATGATTCAAAATAAAACCTAATAACATAAAATCAGGATTGTGGTTGAGTTTTACTCAAACTTCTTGAAATGATAAAATAATATTTTGTATAACTTCTAGAGTTAATGTTACAAAAAAAATTCAACAAATTGCAAAAAATATTTTTTTCATCAAGGAATTTTCAAAAAAAATTTACTTTAGTAATGAAAAAAGTTTTGGAAATAGTGAAAACTTTTAGAAATTGGTATTTAAATGAAAATTTTGTCTCTATATATATTTTTTAGGAGAAATCTATAAATTTTTCAAAGCTCATATGTATGCATTACATTCTAAACTCAATAGAGAAATAGAAGAAAAAAAAAATTGCCTTCAGACTTCTCCTTTGTGGAAATATAATTGTAACAGTAGAACTTTAATTTAATTATTACTTTATACGATTCAAACATGATGATAGAACTGTCAAAATATTAAATCTTACCTCTTTTTTACTTTAGATATTTACAATAACAATTTATGAGTGAGTCTCATTTTAATTAGCTTTTTATACATAATAATTATCTGTCTTAAAGTTAATTAAAATAAAAAAATGATTAAACAAATTTATCAATTAATATTAATTAATACTGGCATAGTCGAGATTATTTAAATTATATTTCGAAATTCGATTGAAGATAACTATACAAATTTATTTTATCCAAATTTAATCGAGATTAATTTTGATAATTTCAAATTTCATTTAAATTATAAAAAAGAAAATATTTGAAATATTTTGGATTTATGCATTATTTAACAATAAATTAAATTATGGGATAACCTTAAACACAGAAAGATGTATCCATTATTTCTTTATACCATGATTTAGTTTAGTGTTTGTAAGGAGACTAATGAAAGAATTTTTTTTATATCTGATTATAATATAGTTTGTTTATTATTAAAATATAATTGATTAATTTTTATATTTATAAGTTTAAGTTGAATAGCCATAAAGTTATTGAATAAAACACAATATAGGCATTTTATTGTGAAAAAAAGATTGCTAAGAAAACTATATGGTGAAATTTTATCCTAGATTTTTGAAAGAGAATTAATAAAAATGCAGAATATGTGGATGATTCAAAAATTAATGATACTATAATAATTTTCAATATTATCTGGCACCAGCCTTACTAGATCTTGTATTAGTTTATTATATTGTAGTAATTTTTTCAGTAGTAGTCATAGTTTTTTATTTTTTCAAAGAATCTAATTCAGCTTAGGCCATCATCCATTATTCTTGGGCAGTGTGAAAGTCTTGATTGGCTTTCATAAATCTCTCTTTCCAAATATCTGCTTCATTAGAATAATATTTCAATTTTTCAGTAGTTTATTAATATTCACTCATTTCTTATTCTAGTTGTCTAATCATTTATTTATATTATGCAATTTCTTGATCTTTATTTCTAATTTATTATATTATATATCTATTACTAAACTAATCTCATGTAATTTTGCATTTCTACATTTTAAGAATTTAATGCATTTTCTAATTTCAAGATTTGTCTTTCTTTTTCGGCCAAAGCATCCCTTAATTATCTAACTTCTTCTCCTCCTTATAATAATTATTAAAACTCTAATTATAATTTGGAATATCTTTATCTCCAAGAATCAATTTCACTTTATTGATTATTTATTTCTTTTCTCAAAGCATCCTCAATATCCTTCATCATTTTAATTTTTGCTTCCAATTCTCTTACTTGAAATTCTTCATTTGATGTAACCTTTAATTCTTATCCTTAATTCTTAAATCTGGCTAATTCAGTTTACAAATCAAATATTTTAATTTCTAATTCAACACATTTCTTTTTCCAAGGTTCTTCTACATCCTCTACAGAGAGAACTTACAATTCTCTTTCAACATGATACATCTCATTAATTTCAGGTTATTAAGGAGGAGAAGGAGCAGCAATAATAGGTTATTATGGAGCAGTAACTATGGGTTACTAATATTAAGGAATTTTATATTCATGAGTATGATGCCTATTTGAATTAATTTATTAATTACGTATGATGTTATTAGATTGTTTTAACATGTTGATTTGATTATGTATATAATTGACTCTAAGCTGCTTATTGCTAATATACCATTGTAGGTTAGGGGGATATTAATTTCATTTAGACAGGTGATTAAAATTGCTAAATAGGAAGTCGCTAATTAGTTTAAGGCTATTATTGATATAGAACAGATTGAACTGGAAGTTAGGTATATTAATTGTTCGTTAACATTAATTAATTATTAATTATCAAGATTAGAATTTATGATCTAACAATCTATTCATCTTATCAATACCTTCCCATATTCCTTCACCTGATTTTGCACTGCATCTTTGCATAATCACATCTGAATTTGATTATTAAATATCTACTCCTAATTCCATGAACTAAGAATTTGGTAAATCAGACTTATTCAAATAAATTAATAACACTATCTAGATTAGTTTGTTAATTACCTTTGTTTTTACATCATCGCTTAACTTTTTCAATTCTTTCAAAATTTCTTATTATTTCTCTTGATTTGTACTGTCAACAACAAAAACTAATCCATCTAAATTCTCATAATAATGAGACCATAAAGTACGCACTTTCCCTCCAACATCAAAAATCAAATAGAATCTCGATTTATATTAAATTGTTTCAACATTCAAACCTGTTGTAGGTTGAGTCTCTGTAAATTTCCTATTTCGCAAATATTATAAAATTGCCGTCTTTCCGCTTCCTTCTAATCCTATAATAACAATCTTTAACTTCTTTTAACCCTACAATGCAACACTAACATCTTCTTCCTTTTAAGATGAAGAAAGACACCCCATATTGTATATAATTATAAATATTATTGTTTACATACATCTATAAAAATCATAACAATTTTAATATAATTGTAGAAAGATTTCTATATTTTCTAATAATCTCTCATTCATTCTAAACTTCTAACAAATTGAGTGTATGATATCTTGTTGATTTAAGTCTAATAACATAGTATAATTCTAATAATGTTTGAATATTTCATATTACTCAGAGATTATTCTATGATATTTGTACAAATAGAATTAGATCATCTTTTATTTTTAGAACTATCAAAAAATAAATTTGTTCTATTTAATAAACATATAAAGATTAAACTGAAAGTACTGGTAATTGTATTACAATTCAAAATTAATATGGTACAACTTAGATATCTCTATAGTTATTGAAGTAATATAAGTTATTCATAAAGTTCTCTGCTCTAATTTATAATTATGTGTCAGAATCCTAAAGATTAATCTAACTTATTATTGCTAAATCCAAATAATATTAATTTCATATTTTTATATGAAAAAGTATTTCAAAATAATTTTCTCAAAATATTGTCATCCTTATTTATTATAAAAAGATTATTTTGCCTTTAATAGATAAGATACTTATTATTAATTTAACGATATATCCTTTTTGTCTATTTACTGAAGAAAAGACTTTTTTTATTTTAATCATACATGATGGAAGAATAAAGTATTGACAAGTTTAAGATTATTTCTAACAGTAATATTATGGGATGAAATAAATAATAATTATTTAATTTATTGGATATAAAATAAAAATATTTGAATACAAACTCGATTTATAATTTTGTAACATGAATTATGAAACATAATTAACTTGAGTATTGATAGCAAATTAACTCCAAATAAGAATGTTTAACATATATTTAATTAAAGGCTAAATAATAATTATTTTATATTCTGGCTGATTCTAAAGATCAAAAGACATTATAGAGAATAGTACTAATTGAAATATGAAATTAAAGTATATACTAAATAAAAATATTGTCTTATAGATCAATATAGACAGAAATTAGATATATTTAAATTTGAGTATCTTCAATTTTTTGGAAAATCATTTTTATCAATTCAAAATATAAAATCTGAATAAAAATAAATTATACATGATTTTACAAAAATCCAGTCCAAATAAATAAGAAAGATTGTCTTAGTAGTAAAAATTTTATTGAATTTGAAAAAAAATTTTCTTAACTATTGTTAATGATGTAACGCTTTTTTTATTATATTATTAATGAATTACTTTTAACAGATATTTATTATAATAAATAGTTATGATAGGTATTTTCATATATATTAAATAATTTTTTTCTTATATATTTGATTGAATAATCTAATATGAACTTGGATGATTAATTAACTAATAAACCAATTAAAAAAAAGTTAAATCACTCACTAACTCAATTTTTTATAAAGTTAAGGATTGAATAAAAATACTTGGCATATAATAATAATTCAAAATTTCAAATTATTGGATAAGATGAATAAGTTATTATTGCAATTAAAGTTCTTTAGATTAAAAAAATACTTAATCAATACCATATAAAAGGTATAACAATGATTAATTTACATGCAAAACTAGTTAATTTATATCAACTTACTAGAACGGTCTAAAAAAAATATTATCTATGTATGGTTCAAATTATATCAAAAGAAACAACCATTAAGAAACTAGCAAAAATTAAATTAATTGCTTAATTTCAAATAAAAAGGATGATGTAATTATATTTTGAAATAATGGTGGTTTTATATATAAATGGATCAAGTATAATCTAAAATGGTAATAGCAACAAAAATTAATTGATCACTTTGAGTACACTGTTTATAGTTTAAGTAGTTGAATCTTAAAAGAACTTATATTTGATTATAGAAATGAATATTTTTGAGAAATATTTGTAATTGAATGGAAAGAAAATCATGAATGGAAGTTAATAATAGATGGATATTAAGGGTATAGAATTTGTTTATTATTGAGATTTATTTTTAAACTAAACAGAGCAACAATTAAGAAATTAAATAAATTGAATGAAAATAACGGTCAGTATTAATAGCATTATATAAATAAAATGTAAAATATTAGTGAATATTTGTTTGCAATTCAAAGTATAAGATAAAGTTTTATTAACTTAAAATTTAACAATCTATTAATTTTTTTATATTTATGGTGGTATAAGTTAGTAATGAAAATACTAATTACTTTTTATTCAAGTATAAAAAGAAATAAAATTCCAATTTTTTGTAATTATGATTGATTAAAAAATTAATAAAATATTTATTAAACATTGAGAATTTATAATAAGATTTGTAAATTATGAAAATATTTAAATAAGAATCCGATTGAAATTTGATTTTTATATAAATAAATTAAAAATGAAAAATCTTTTTCACATTAATTTACTTTATGAATAATATTAAGAATTACTTTTCCACTCCCTTAAGTCTAATGAGCAAAAATCACTTAAATTCTGAGATAGATGATGAAAATTCAGAAAATAATTAATATATCTCTGCTTAGTCTTTCACAATAATTCAATCATGTCTCAGTAAAACCATTATTGAGGATTATCCTATAAATAAATTAAAAAGAAGCTAAGAAAACTAATAAAGTAACTGGAAAGATTCTTTTAAATGGTTGTGATATTAATATTGATTTTTCTATATATTTATTTTAAATAATTCAGTGTAATATAAACTCATCTTAGATGTTTGATAATTCAATAATGGTCTTTTAATAAATTAAAGGGAAATAACATGAAAATTTAATAATAATTATTCATTAACAACAAACTAGCTTTCATAATTTTTTAACTTCTTCTTCTGAAAATTTCATTTTTTCTTTTTGGTTTTCATATAAGGCTAATTATTTTTAATTTAATATTTGAATGCATTGTCGTTAATCATCAGTATTAAGACATAATTTATATTCGTTTAAGTTTGATTAGAATGACACTTCATAAAAATAGAATGTGAAATATGACTTTTTAATTAACAACATTATTTTTGGACTTTAAAATATCCAATTAGCATTAATAACTTTTAGTAAATCTACAAAGACTTGATTTTCTGCTTTTTTATGTTGAATATAATTTTGAAAGTCAAATGTTGAGTAGAATTGATCTATTTAAGTTTTGCTTAAAGTATAATAATTCTAAAATTTACTCTAATGTTTTTAAATATTATTCATTGAAATCTTTGATAGTGAAATATTCATTATGATGATATAGATTCTTAAATGATTAATCTGAAAGTTTTTCTAAAAAATTTCCCATATTTAATTTTAATATAATAATCTTTTAAAGTATTGTTAATAGGGTAGTTAATTATATCTAATTAAAAACCAGAAGTGATATGTCAATTCATATAAAAATATTAAATTAATAAAAATGAGTGAAAAAAAAAATGATTTCTTTTCATTCTTTAATGGTTCTCAAAAGAAAAAGGAAACTAAAAAAATCATCTTTGATGAAAATTTTTTCAATCTTCAAGTTAATGGAGGGAAGATACATAGTGATAAGATTATTATTGAAGCTATTTCTATTGTTGGTAATTGTATTATAATAAATGAAGATAATGAGAAGTTGGAGACTGATATCAAATGGTTTTAGATCTCACCAAACAATGATTTCAATACTTTAGGAATAACGGGAAACTCATATCAACCTAGTATAGAAGATGTTGGTTCCAAGTTTATGATCCAAGTTGTTCCAATTAAAGAGGGTAGACAATATGAAGGAATGCCTAAGTCATTAGAAATAGGACCATTACTTAAAGATGAGTCTATTCAAGAAGAAATTGATGAATTATTGGACAATGAGAAAATGACTGTATTTGTCACTTTAGAATAAATATTAAGCAAAGATTTCGAAATTGTACTAAAATATTAATTAAAAAGGAAGCAGAATTGCCTATCAATTGTATACTCAAAATTACACTAAAAAATATGGAATTAGAACTCAAAAAGAATGATTAAACTATTCATCATATTTAAGTCTCTTTGTAAGCTTAGTATCCATCCTGTTCATCTAAACAAGGCACTAGCGAGAGTTTCATTTTAAGAGTAGATTAAAATAATCACTTTTAAATGAAAGCAGCAGATAATTCATAAAGAGATATAATATTGACTGTCATTAAAGGATTTTATGGCAAAGGAGTATGGAAGGATTAGGAAATTTAATAAATTGAGGAAAGTGAGGATGAGGATGAATTAGATGAACCTGAATAATAAGAATTAGAATAGAAAGTAGATGAAAATACCAAAGATGAACAATAGGAGCAAATTTAATAATAAGTAATATAGGAAGAAAATTAAAAAGTGGGAATTAAAGAAGAAGAAAAAGAGATTGCATAAGAGCAATTAAATGATGTATCAGTTGAGTCAAATATAATTAAAAAAGATGAAGAATAATAAGAAATTAAAATTCTATAAAATTAATAATAAGATGTATAATCAGAATCACAATAAGAAACATAATTAATTGAACAATCATAATCCAAAGAGTAAGATAATTTTGTAGATGAATATAAATCAGAAATAGAACAATAATAATAATAAATAATAGAATAATAAGTAAATATTGAAGATAAATAAAATACTCAAGTGATATAAGAATAGAATAAGTCAATTGAATCAACACCAATAATAACTCGAACTAAATCTGATGAAATATAAAATGATGAATCTAAAATTTAAGATTCTGAAACTATCTAAAATAATGATTAAATATAATAAAAAGATATCATTTAAGAATAATAATAATAAGAAGAATAATAGTAAGAGTAATAATAAGAGTAATAAGAATAATAATAGTAATAGTCATAATAAGAATAATAGTAATAATAATAGTAATAATAATAATAGTAATAATAGTAATAATAATAGCAACAGTAATAATAACAATTAGACCTTTAATAAACAAAAATAGACATTTAATAAAATTAATAATAATAGAATGAATAATAAGAATAATAAACAAAAGATGTAGAAAATAAATAATAAATTGAGAATAATAATATTAAATAAAATGAATAAAATAATTAAGTTATCAATGAAGAATAATCATAAGCCAAATAAAGAGTCGATCATAAATTTTAATCAGTCATCATTAGCTCAGAAAGTAATAAAGAGGAGAAAGCCAGTCCTATTAAAAAGAAAGAAAAGAAAAATAATATGGATTTATATATTCAAATAAATGAAAATGTTAAATTAAAGCAAGATATTGAGCAATATAAAGTTAATTAATAAAAGAATAATGAAACAATCTAAAAATAAAAAAAACAAGTAAGATTTTTTATATATTATAGATTCAAACACTAACAGAGTAATTAAATAATTGCACTAAGAATTATTATTTACTTGAAGAAGAATGTACGAATTAAAAAAAGATTATGCATAATTTAAATGATTAAAAAGTATTTTTATAATAGGATATCAATATGTACAAAACTTAATTATTGGAACTAACAGAATTCAGTTCAAATTAGAAGGAAGAAATTTCATAATTATAAAAAAGATTGAAAAGATAACAACAATCTTAAGATTTGAATGAAGCCAAGAAATAAATTGAATAATTAAAGGAAGATATTGCTAAGAAAGATTTGATGTTGTAGGCTGCTAACAAGGATCATATTTTAGCCTAATAGAAAATAGAGGATTTGGAGAAGGTTATTGAAGGATTTTAGAATCAATTAATTCATGAGAAGAAGAAATATGAGAGTTTGGCTATGGAGAAAGGAATTAAGTAGCCATAGATAATTCAAAAAGATTATTCAAGATTATAATTTGAGAGACCTATTTCAAAGGATATTAAACCTGTTGCTTAATCTATGATACAATTAGATGATGCAGAGAAGTATTCAATAGATATCAGTCAAAGCATGTCTAAGTAAATAAAAGATTAATAAAATAGTTTAGACAGTGATGGTGAGGTGAATCGATTGAAAAATTAGATTATGCATTTAGAAGCCACATTGAGAAGGTAATTATTTAATTTTATATATTTAAAGTTTGAAGATTGCATATGAATAGGATATCAGATATACAAAGGGGAAATCAGGAAAATCAATGACAGGAAGTAGTAAGGACATTAAATATTTATAACATATTGCTAATAATATGGCAGAAATAATTACAGAGAAGGACTCTTAATTAGAGAATTAGAAGAAAATAAATAAGGAATTGCTCACTAAGTTATAGATTTTATAATAATAGTAATAATGAGGGATATACATATTTAATTATACTAATATTTGATTGTTAATTTATTTAAATTTAAACCGGTTAATTGATCAAATGTCTGATTTGGCTGACAAGATTGTTGTAGTTATCAGAAAGAGACCATTAGGAAAAAAGGAGCTTGCAAAAAAGGATGAAGACATTGTGGATGTTCATAGTGATTAAAGTGTGATTGTTAAAGAAGTGAAGTAATACACAATTGTAAACTTAGATAAAAGGTAGATCTTACAAAATATGTTGAAGAACATATGTTTAACTTTGATTTGGCATTTGATCAGAATGCCTCAAATTAATAAGTTTATTTGAATGCAGTTCGACCAATAATAGAAGCAGCCTTTAATAAGGCTCGTGTCACTTGTTTTGCTTATGGTCAAACAGGAAGTGGTAAAACACACACCATGTTGGGAGATGTAGAAAAATAAATACCTGGGATGTACATTTTAGCTGCTAATGACATATTTTAACTGCTATAATAAGTAATTTAAATACAATAATATTATTAGCCAGAATTCCAACATTTGATTGTAGGAGTATCATTTTTTGAAATCTATTGTGGCAAATTATTTGATCTTTTAAATTAGAGAGGGTAAATCTAAATAAGAGAAGATGCTAAAGGCAATGTTAATTTAATCAATCTTATGGAAAAGAAGGTCAATTCAGTCTAATCCCTTATGTAAATAATAACATAGGGTTAAACTGTAAGAGTAACAGGTTAATTTTATTTTTATTTTTTTTAGCTTAAAATGGAGCCAATAATGAATCATCTAGATCTCATGCCATATTATAAATCAACTTGAGAGCAGGCAAAAATGTTTTTGGAAAATTATCATTTATTGATTTGGCAGGAAGTGAAAGAGGAGCTGATGTTTAAGATTCTAACAAATAAACTAGAATAGATGGTGCTGAAATAAATAAGTCTCTTTTAGCTTTAAAAGAATGTATTAGAGCATTAGATCTAAACAAAAATCATACACCATTTAGAGGATCTAAACTTACATTAGTAATTTTAATTCAAATATTTTTTAGGTTTTAAAAGATAGTTTAACAGGAAATTGTAAAACAGTAATGATTGGTAATATTTCTCCAAGTTCATCAAGTAGTGAACATACTTTGAATACATTGAGATATGCTGATAGAGTTAAAGAACTTAAGAAACCCTAAGATAAATAATATTAGGGAGACTATATATAAAGGGAATTAATGTTGGCTCGATAAAATAGTATTTTTATTATTTATTTTAAAAATAGCTAATATTGTAAGGAAAGCTTATAAGAATCCAGATGATGAAGATGATGAAGATATCTCATGTAATTCAATGAGTAATTCCTTTTTTCCTTAATAATAATAATAACAATAACAATAACAGTAATTTATGTTTTAATAATAATAATAGTAATAATATATGATATAATAATAATAGTAATAGAAATAATAATAATAATAATAATAATAATAGTAATAATAATAATATTAATCAACTAATTAATATTTATTTTAATAATAACCATAATAATAATAATAATTTATTCATTAATAACCTTAATAACCACAATAATAGTAATAAAATGCACCTAAATTATCTTAAATACCTAAAAATTCTTCATAATAAAGTTCTAATAATAATATTCTTAATAGATTTAATTTAGGCTCATTTCCTACTATAAATGGTGGTAGTTCCTCTAATATTATGGCAAACAACTCTAAATAATATACTTAATAATCATTTTTATAATAATAATCATCATGCAATTCCATTATGACAGAAGTTCCTCAATAACAACCTTAATTATTTTAATAATAACAATATTAATAGAATAAATCACTATTATTTCCATAATAATAACAATAATTCAATTAAAATAACAATAATCTATTTCAAGAAAATAATTATGACTAAGGATTTTAATAATAGCAATCAAATCAATTGTCATTAGATATTCGTTAAGATTCAATGGTTGAAGAAGAATTATGCATCAATAATCCTAATTATTTTAGTGTCACTGGAAGATACTCTTAAGAATCCCAATCTTCAAGATAGAGTTCTACAAGACCCTTACAAGAGATTAATAATTATGAAGGATCCAAGTACTTTAATAATAGATCATTTACAAATAATGATTATTAATATTAGTAACACATTCTAAATGAGCATAAACAAGCTATTGACAAGATAGTTGAAATCACTAAAGATGTATTGTATGATTATATCAAAGGAAATGATAAATTTATAATAAGTCTAATCTCCATAAGATATGTCATAATATGTCTCTAAAGTGATGTTCTAGTTACAAAACAAAATGGATTTAATAGGCAATTTATATTAAAAGATGAAATAATATTAAAAGGATTTTGAAACAAGAGGAATTCCATTCCAACCAAATTCACATACTTTTAGTTTATTTTAATAAGATGACAATTTACTAAACATAGATGATAATGTAGTTTGAATTATTAAAAATATATTTAACAATTATATTGAAATCAAAATTAGCTGAAATCATTATTAATAAATGACCATCCATTAATGTAATTAATAGAACTAGATTTATCAGCTGATAATATAAAATCGAATGGGATGTCAAATTTTTAATTTAAAATCTCCTAATTAATAATTGGTTAAGGAGGTTTATATTTCCTATATTAATAGTTAAATTAAAATTACTTTTTTAATAGATCATCCCAATTAATTTACTTAAAAAAGGGATGATCTTTTATTTCATCAGCATCTCTTGATGATGCACCTAATCTCGTCATAGGATTCTTTTCTAAAAGCAATTATATGATTGATTTGCATTCTTTTGAAATATTTTCTGGAAATGAAATCTTGTTGCATTCAATATTATTTAACATTTCATCTCTATTTGGTGAGAAATAAGGAGGTTTACCACTAATCATTTCATAAAGTAAAATCCCTATTTATATATCAATTCAAAATAATACCTAAATGATACCAATCAACAGCTCTTCCATGTCCGACTCGTTTTAACATTTCAGGAGCCAAATATGCCATGGATCCACAAAAGCTTTTTGCTCCATAATTATCTCTAACTCCTTCTTTTGATAATCCAAAATCTGTCAACATGGCATGACCTTAAGTATCAATAACAATATTTTCTGGTTTTAAATCTCTATAAATAATATCATTTTTGTGAAGATGTTCCAAAGCTGTTAGAATTTCTGCAATATATAATTTAGCTGCTTATTCTGGTATTCTTTTTTAATTTTAAATAATTTTAGATAAATCTCCACCTGGACAAAAATCCATCAATAAACATAAATGAGTATTAGTTTAAAAGGCATATCTTAATTTAACAATATATGGATGATTTAAATATGATAAGATATTCCTTTCAGCCATAGCATATCTTATTAAATTGTGTCCTAAGAATTTACTTTTAGGTAAAACTTTCATGGCATACTTTTACCCTTATGTAGTTTTACTCTAATTTCTTTTTTCAACTAAATAAACATCTCCAAATGATCCTTTACCTATTTGCAATATAATTCTAATATTGGATGGACCAATCATTTCACTATCATTTAATTAAGACTAATATTTTATAAATAATTACAACTTGATTGAGGGTTGATCGATTAGATGTTGAAAATTAATTATCTGTTTAATAAGGTGAGTAACATTTGGATGTTTATTAATATTAGTTTGTTAGATAATATTATTATTTACTAGTTGGAGAATTGACTTTTTATTGTTCTTTGGAATCATCATAGATTTAGACTTTGTGACACTAATTAAATGATTCCTTTTTCATCTAAAAATAAATAAAAAAAAGAATAAAATACCCTATAATGTTTTTCAATAAGATTTTTAAGAGCATTGTTATTTTATATTAATTCTACAGGAGATTTATTATCTAGATTTTTTAAATTTAATTGCAAAGAAGGTCTTGCCAAAAGTATTTCTGCAATTCTTATATGTTCTAAAAATGAATAAATAGAAAATTAGATACAAAATAAACATGCATAATGTAATGCTGTATTTTAATGATTATCTATATGATTGATATCAGATCCTATAGTTAATAATAGTGTAGCAATAGAATCACATCCATTTTAAGCACATATGATTAATGGTGTTTAACCTTGAGAATTGACAGAATCACAATCAGCTTCATTTTTGAGAAGTAAGAGTGATAAGTCATAATTTTAATTTAGACAACTATAATGAATTGAAGCAAATCCTATTATAATTATTTATATATGTTATACCATTATCATCTTTTATATTGATTTCTGGCTTTAAATCTTTTGTAGGGATTTCCAATAATTTTTCAACTTCTTTGATATTGTTTTATTTTGCATTAAGGATGAGAGAGTGATTATTTTCTCTTTTTTATTACCACCAACCTTACCATGCTGATTTATGTCTTTTTTTTAACTTGGCCATGTAATCTTTATTAACTTGTATCTTCTCGACTTATCTAATGTCATATACAGTTCCTGTAGTAATAAGTAGAATTTGAAACCTGTGTCTTGATCTTTAAGAAGGAACATTTCATCATTGAATTTCTATTCATACAAATTAACTGGTGCAGTGTTTGTATGAAAGTGGGAGATACGTATGTTAGATGATTGATTCTACTATGCTGTTTCACTAAATATGTTTGGAACTTACTCAAAACCTGTGGAGTTTTTAGAACTCCTCGATTTATTGCTGTTACAATTAGAAAGACTGCCCTATGAACTTTATTTTTAATGACTACTTTAATTGAGTTTAATTACTATTAATCAAGTTAATATTGTTTAGTTCTCATCATAGTTTATTCTGCATATAATTTATTATTCATAGCTGATGGCGCTCTTGGAATTTCAGTTTTCTTACTCATTGTATTTAATGTTGGAGTTACAGCATCTTGTTATTTCCTGAACGTAGGTTAATATTGATTAGGATAAGTGGCATCTCTGGGAGTATTGATGGGTAAGATGGGATGTTTTTACATAAAATAATATTAATTTAAATTTCTTACATTTATATATAAATTGATCATAACATCATAACATGTCAATAATATCAGATATCATTTATTATTTGTTTAACCTTTATGAATATTTCTTTATTGCCATAAAGTACTAATAAGTCAATCTTCTTCTTCTTAATAAAACTTTGGATTTTATTCTTTCATATTCCTTGCCAGCCTTTATATCTTAGTTTCTCTCTTATAAATCCTTCTTATTTGCTTATAAACTCTATTGAAGTTGATCAAAGACAACATTTTAATCTCCAGGATTAGGATGACCATCCAAAATTCTTTAAACTTATTCCTCTTATTAATGAATCTATTCCTCCAATTCTTTTATTTGATTACCCAAATGATATTGCAAAGGAATAGGAAATACTGCTTTTTCACTAAAACTAATTAAATATATTTTATAAATTCTTACTAATCATATGCAGTGAGATATTTATTTTCTATAAATACTTTACATAAATTTTTATGGAATAATTTATAATCTTTACAACTACCCTCATTGTGGGACATATTCTTAAATTTAACATCTAATTGTTGTAATTATTCAAAATTTATTAATGCATTACTAAATTCATTCCAATCTAAACTGAAATTTGTTATTGGAAATTCTATTTTTAGAAATCTCACTTCAAAATAAGAAATCAAAAATAAAAATTCACAAAATTATGTAAATCCTTATAAATCTAATTACATAGGTTCCACTCTATAATTAATTATTTATAATATTACGCTATTATTGACAATGATCCATTTTACAATTTTATACTAATTGTTATTGAAATAAATCTAAATTCTGGAATCTCTGCTATTTTTTATCTTTTGATCAATTCATGAAGTAAATCACTAATTCCTATCCAAAGAAAATTATCTTCAAAACTAATAATTTATAATATTTATGACTATACATTTGAATTTCAGTTATTTATCTTTATGTGAATAATAAAAATTAAATAAGATAATTTAATTAACCAATTTTCATTAATGAAACTCCTTTTTAATATTTGATATATAATTAATATGATTGTATATCAATATATTCCTATTATTTGATTAAGGAATAGATTTATCTCAAATATAAATTATCTACATTGAATACTTCTCTTATTTATATTACCAATTAATTTGAAGGAATAGGCATTAATATATCTCTTGAAACAACTTGTTCAATTCCAATTAGTTATAATCTATCAAAATTATATTAGTAACTTATTTGATCATTTAAATGACTAAAATAAACAATTATAGGTGTTCCAAAGAGACAAATCTTTTATAATAGAATTGCATTTGATCTCATTTCCTCTTATCTATAATCACTAGATTTCTGAGATCCTGTTTTTAAAGATAGTAAATTAAGAGTCTTATTTGATTTTACTTATTCTAAAAATTAACATAATTTTGTATATTCTATATTATTATTCCCCTTCAAATTTAATTTGAAAACACTTAGATACTCTAATTGTCTTAATCTTATTCCCAATTCAGTTAAATCAGGTAAACTTTGTTGTCCACCAATGCTTAGATCTAAATTAACTAAATTTCTCTTTTATCCAAGTGTATTAAATAAATTAGAAAAATCTAAATTTTATTATTATTTTGCAAAATTTAAAGAAAGACTATTTAAATTACTACTTTTATTGATGAGTTTCTCTAATTATTCTAAACAATACTTATTAACACATATATTTCGTCTATTTAATTAATATAATTATATTACTCAAATTCTAATTCCAATATATTAACTGTTCTTAATTTTTACAATAATATAAATATATATAAAGCTTATAGATCTGTCATTTAATTAGAATCTCCAATACTTATTTTGACAATTTATAATTAAGGTGAATCTAATAATAATGCTAAGAACTTGGCTCCTCCATTTTGGAAATCATTATTCTTACCAATTTTAAAATTTAACTATTCTAATTTATTACATTAAATTTATTGCAATTAAAGTTATTTAAATATTTTAGTTGAACTTCTAAAATAACTAAATTTAAAATAAATTACCCAACTTAAAGTTTTAGATGTTTTAATTTATTCTATACCAATAATAAAATTGTTTATAAGGCTTGACTTCCAATTTCATTAGAATTACCAATTTTCAATTTAAAAAATGTTATAGGTTGATTATTTAAATTTTCTAAAAATTTTGTTGAATATAATTGACAAGATTATCTTAATATTAAATAGAATAAATAAATTACCCTATTGTTAATGAAAAATAATTTAAATTATTACAATTAAGAAGAATTGGACCAAAATGATCAAGACTATCTTTAATAACATTATCATCATCTATTTTCAATCGAAATTAATTAAATTGTAATTTAGAACTCAGAAATGCCAATTATTGAATACTAGTACAATCATTTGTTATTCCACATCTTAATTTAATGATAGATTTACTTAAGTTTGATTGAAAAGTATCCTTTATTTAGAATAATTGTAAAATATTTGTGAATTTATATATACAATTATTCTAATTAAACACAAGATTAGATTATCAGTGATAAGTATTATAGCCATTCAACTATAGAAAGACCTGCATTATCCATAATATTAAGAGATAACATCCTGAGATTGAAACTAAATGGTTATAATATTTTATAATAGGTTTTAGGAGATAAATAATTACCATTTCTATTAGTTTATAATTAATATTATACTCTGAATTGATTAAGATGTGACTCATTGAATTTGAAGCAATTTTCTATCCATCAAAAAGAAAGATAACTTTATCAAAATCTACATCATCTATGTGTTCATTTGCACTATTTAGAAGAATAATAAAATTAAAGTTTTACACTAATCTGATTTTAAATCCTTTAAGTACATTAAATTATATATTTGACAAAATTTAATGGACATATGATTGATCTTTGAAGGCTGAAACAAAGCTTTTTTTACTAAAAGTTTAAAGACATAAACATACAACAAAGTCATATTGAAAAAATATTCTTAATCTTCTTCCTGATCCATTTATATATATATATATATTTATATTAATTATAATTGCATTTAAGCAGTTAATGAAGAGTTCAATGTAACAAAGCTATTAAAATATTCTAAAAATATCATAGCATATCAAATAATCAAGAACTACAACTCCTCCATTAAGTACTAAAAAAAGAGTTAAATCTGCTACTCTTTTAAAGTAGTAACCTTATGAAAAACTTGTAAACTCTACTACAAGAGATGAAGAAACAACTAGAGGCATAATTGATAGTATAAGATTTGATAATGATTGCAAATAATAGAATGAAGATGATTAATTCAAAAAAATAGAAAATTACAAATATTAACATGAAAAAGATCAATGTTACATTACACATCTCTAATAATAGGTTACAGATTTAGAATAATAATTGTTATAAATTGAAACTAAATAACAATAAATTATGTAACCAATTAAAAATCATGCCAAAATGTTAATGGATAGAATTTCTTTCCTAGAAATTACTAAATCCTAATATTCTTTAGAAGAATAGAAATTATCTAAATGTTTACAAAAAGTTCTTGATCATAATCATTAAATATAATTAGCTTATGAAAAGAAATGTCAGGAAATTCAAAAACTTAAATCACTGAAATAAATTCCCTGATATTAACCAATACAATTTTGAAATATCTTTTTATACTTATATTAATATTATATATTGTAACAAAGCAGTATATAATTATTCATATTATTCATCAATTATTACAAAGTCCTTTATAAATTATTAATATATATAGTATACCACATCCTAAACATTATTCTTATCCATTTGGTGTATGATTTCCTCCTATTGGACATTTACCCTTTCCTAAACATTATGGCAATTCCTCCTTTTTCAATTAAGTTAAATATTTCCCTCCAGACTATTTTGTATGACAATTTTAACAAAAATGAGTAGTTCCCCTATTTTTATATCATATTATAAATTACCAACAAAAATATGTTGCAATATTACAACAATATCTACATTTATATTCTAAATATTCAGTTCCATGAATCTTACATCCATTAATTTATTATCCACAACATGAAGGACAAATTAAATCTGATTAACTTTGTCTATTTTATTCAGCCTCTAATTCTAATTAACAATCTTTCTTTCCTCCAAAATATGGTTTCTTGCATTTATCACATTAATAAAATGCAAATATATCTAAAGCATCTTCAACTTTTAAAATTTAATTATCTCCCATTTTTCCCATTCTCAAAGAAGCCTATTTACGAACTAATATTTGTAATTCTTAATATTCATTCATTTTCTGTTATGAAATTGAATCATTAGGAAATTCCTAAATTATATTTATATATAAATATAAATACCATCCATCTTTTACAAATTGAACAACAACAAAATCCAAATGAAATATACATACTTGTCCATTTTTTATCTAATTTCTTATTTAAACAATAATAATGAAATATCTTATATAATATTATCAAAATATATTACATGTCCACAAGCTGCTTAAATACATGGACCTTCATATAATGATTCTGTAAAACAAATTGTACAATATTCTTCAGATAACTTTTAATTAGTGCATCCTAGACAACCCAAACATTTTTTCTCATCTTTATATCCATTACAAAAATGTTTGCAACTTAGTATTTTTTAACATGCCTAAGTATTTTTTGATTAGCATTCTTATTAATTACAAACTGGTCTTTAACCAGATTTAACATCTTTATTATTTAAATATCTATAACAAAATGAACACTATTATTTTTATTATGCTGGTGATTCACCTGTTTTTAATTTTTTTTATAAGTATTATAATCTCTCTAAACCTATATATTTTTCAATTTCTTATTAACTCAATTACTTTTAACAATACGAACATTACACACAACCTGATTTTAGAATATATTATTAATTTATTAATTTTCTAATGCAACCTAAACAATGAGCATGTTGACAAATTTTAAAATTATAAACTATTTCCATCTCATCTTCATTATTATCTAATTTTCCACAAGATGAACATTTCTGTTTTATTTCTTATTCTCGACTCTTAATTGGAAAGTACTTTTTGTGAATATTATTGAAGGACTGAAATTTCAATCAAATAAGATTACTTATTTTTAAAAATTTGATTATGGTTGTATTGACTATTTTAATTATCTATTAGAACTCTTTGGTGAATTGATTTAACTAATTTCTTCTAATATTATAATTAATTATATATCTTACTTTTATTGATAATATCATCAATTTGATTAATGATATATAGAAATTCTGCCTTTAATGTATAAAGTTAAGGTAGCTTAAAGATATTCAAACGAAGCTTTTCAAATTCTTTATAAAACATTGATTCACTAAGAAACTTCTTACAATTGGAAATGTGATTATATAAATCATCAAATGGATCACATCTGATCTATTAACCACAAAAGCACTTATAATTATCATCATAATTAGGTTCTTCATGATTAGATTGCATCAATGACTTAACCTAATTATAAAACCCTTGCATTAATAAATTGCTATTCATTATTTTTATATATTAATTTTAATTTATCAATTTATGATATCAAATATATTATTATATATTAATATCGAATATATTATAATATATTTATAACAAATAATTGTTAAATTTGAAATATTAAAAACTTCAAAATCTATATGAAACTTATAATTGATATGAATTTATATTAATCTTATTACATTTTAGCAAAAATTTCTATTATAAACTTTATTTTTAATCTCATTGAAAATAAGTATCGATGATTAATACTTATAAATCTGGATCTGAAAATGTATAATTTTTATTTAGGCATTAATACTTTAATTACAAATTCCATTAAAATTAAAAACTTATCTTTTAATTGAAAATTCACAACATTTATAATGATTTAATATTAAAACAGTATTCTAAACAATTTCCTTCTTATTTTGATCAATAAAATGTTGTAGATGAACCTTGTGAATAAAATGATTATCCAAAAACAAAATTATTTTATAATTGATAGCATTATTAAATTTTGTAAGTGATTATTTTTAAATTAATCTAATATCTGTTGAATGAGATGACCTCCTTGTTAAGAATTATGCAGTCAATTATGATACAATTTTTATATATTAATCAATACTATATAGTTCAAGGCTAACTGCTTATCAAAATTATGAATCATAAATGTTTTATAATATTTATTATTTTACAACAATTTATTTATCTATCATAAAAGAATGAGATCAATTCTTGTTATTATAGCAAAATTAAAAAAAGATTCTTTAACGAATACTCAATGGATATTTATTTAATATAACTCTGTTTTTTTACATTCGGTGATTTCTTCTTGTTTAATCTTTCGTTTTGCCTTTTGGATTCCAGTTTTATTGCAGTAGGATAATAGTCATTAAATTGATTTCAAATTATATATGTTTCCATTTAATATAATAAGTTCTAATAGAATAATGAAATTTAAATTAAAAATAAAATTCAAGCTTATTCATATAATAAAATTCTATAAGGTCTAATATCTTGGATGTTGTTTACAACAAAAATATTGCTTGACTACATCGATTAGCTTTATTTAACAGACTAGGGTTTGCATCTTGACATTATGGCTACTCTAAACTTTCGAGTTCCAATAGGTACTTCATTTGAGTAACCCTGAGTGACTGAAATTCTATCTGAAAAATAAACTCCGACTCCAACATCATTTTAATAGCTCTAACCAGGTCCTGGCTTTAAACCAGTTTAAACAATTGATGTTACAAAATGATGTTTAGTACCATGATATAATATTCTCCATTCATTTTAATTCCCATCTTTTTTAATCCAATTTTTATCCTATCCAAATTTGTCAATCTTCAATCCAAACCCCTGACATTATCTTGGATAATAATAATCATATTTATATGTTGGAGGACCTCGTTGTTATTTCTCCTAATGTTATTTCCAATTTTTATTATGTGATGGATCAAAATCATCCAAACAAAAATTAATCTTATTTTAACTAGAATTATTGGCTAAAATGAAGAAATTGAGATAATCAACCGAACACCAACATACATTTTCAAGAAAATTAATCTAATTTTTATTAAAGGGCTTAACAAATAGATCTCTAATAGAAGATATCTATTTAAATTATGTAAAATCAGTCTATATTAAATCTCTTAATTAACATTGTTATTCTTTTAATTTTTGTAATTATCTATATTCTTCTTAAAGTTTAGTTTCCATCAAAACATAGAATAAGACTTCTATATTTGATTTTTCTATAAGTTAATTAACATGATAAATTTATTCAGATAACTTCTTTTATGTGTCCTCTCTATTACTTTTAATTTCTATCATGATAATTTCTATTAAAATAATTGAATTTATTATTTATTATAACTTAATAATTAAAAAGTAATAGAATATTAAATTTGGATTTTTTATGAAATCAATTTTCTATTAATGTAAATTTATTAAATTACTTAATAATTTGAAATTTTAGTATTACATTTTTAACTAAAAAATTTAAATTGTGTTGATTAAGATAGATATAAAAAATATTGATAAATATTCATATTTTAATCATTAAAAATTATGTTTATAAAAAAGAAATATATGCAAAATCATATTTATAGAGGGCTCATTACAATTGACAAAATTAATTATGAGTTGGAATTATCGGATATGCTTTGTTTAAAACTATAAGTCTTGGTTCATCTAAATAAAGATATGTTTCAACTTTGCTATTCTATCATAAATTTAATGAATATGTCTGATATGCCATATTAGTTATAGCTTTTTCTTAAGACAGAAAATTTTTAAGTTCTTGAACTTCAATTTTTATGAGGGGAAGTAGGGAAAGGTTTTATTAAGGAGAATTTGATGCTGAATTAAACATTTTTCAAACTCATTTAAGCAATTATTAAAGCATTTATTGCCACATCGTAGTTCCCATTTATATTTTTTAAGAATATAAAAAAACCATCTTTTCTTTTATAAGTGTTCAGGATTGTTGTTTTTTTGATGGCTCTGTAAGCTTCTTTTTAATCTTTAGTTGAATAAATTTCAGTTTCTTCTTTTAAAATTTTACAATAAATTACTATTCTAGTTTTCATTGTATTAGACGGTGGTCTGTTAGTTTATTTAAGAAAAGTTTAGCAAGAAAGATTTTGAAAATTAAGGGTAAAGCAAAAATCTGTTCTTGAAATTGGTGTTCTTGTTATCTGTAAGCTTATAAATGTAGGAAAGTTAATAGTAATAGTATTTCCAAAAGGTCGATAATCAATCTTTGATGTATTAAAGTCTCCATAATAAAATATTCTGCTTTGATTGGTTTAAGGTAGCTTTGGATTTGAAATAAAAATTGCAGACAGTATTTTATATATTATTCTAATCCTATTCTTATTTATTATTTTTATTAATTTTATTTCTTAAATTCTATCCTTTGTTTGATGAAGACACAATATCTTATATTGGGGATCTTACTATTTGAAACGAAGATACTTTTTATTAGCTACTAATAGTTATTCATTTCATAAAATGTCTTCTCATAGATTTTTTATTTGAATGTCGTTTCTTATTCGGAGTTGGGTTGATAATAAGCATCTCATTAAAGAATCAGAGCTTAGTTATTGATTTAGAAAAATTATCCAAATTGTAGTCCTATGAAAGAACTAATTTGAAATTCTGTGATTTAAATTTATAAAATATATAAAATTCTATTTATATATTTAAAAAATGAATTGACAAGATATTACAATTTATTTAATATTTTAATTAAATAATGAAAAAATGATAATATTAATTTAATTTTAGCACAAAATTTATATAAATTGGTATCAATAAACATCTTTATAATAAGTTTTCAATACATCCATCGGATCTTAAGATTCTACTTATGATATAATTAAGTTTCATGACAAAAACATATCGCAACTTAGTATTAATTTAATTTGATTTCAATTAAGACTTTTAGAATTAAAAAGTCAGAAATTAGATTATGATTTTTGTTGAATTATAAAGATCTTGAATTAAAGTAAAATTACTAAAGCTACGACAAGAGGATTGTATTAATTATATTGGTAAATGTTTTAATATTTAAAATAGTAACTAAATTAGAGACAAAAAAGGATTTTCATTATAAGTTTGGATAGTGAAATATTAAATTAAAAGAATTCAAATTTGATATAATTGAATATATAATCTTATGTATTTGGGAAAGTTAATTTTGCTAATTAACAAAATTAATTTATTAAATTGAGAATGAAGAAGAATCACAAGAATAATAACTAAATTTCAGAAAAAATTAAATAAAAATCTAGACTTAAAATCAAAAAAAACATTATCTTTAAAAAAAAATAATAATAATATGATAAGTATTTTAATTTTTATCTCAGTTATCTCAAATAATTTAATATTGAAAAAATAGACTTTATGTATATAAGATATTTTTAACCCTTTATATAATAAAATCATTATATTCAAAATTGATAATGTAGTGATTGATGTATTATTTTATAATAATAATCTCATTTTCTAAAGTATATGAAATCCTTATAGTCATAATAGTAGTAATTCTATTGACCTATTAATCAGGTTCCTAAGCATTTGCCTACGAGAAGGATAACAAAACTTAGTAATTATAGATATCGATTACTCATTAATCAAATATTTATTTATATAAATAATTTGAAAAACGAATATAATATTCTATCTAAATTTAATAAATGAGAGCATAATCATTTATTTTTCTAATAGGCCAAAAGGGTATTGATATTGATTATATAAAGATATTTAAATAACTAAGAAAATTTTCATAAAATGGAAACAATGTGTATCTTAAGTGGAAAATTTCATTGAAAATATTTTATTATTATAAATTCAAAATAATGTATATTTATTAATTTTAAATTATAAATTTGTTTCTATCAAATCTTTAAATTCTTAGCAATTGTGTTTTATAAGTTACTCTTAGTTGAAAATAATTAGTTTATATTTACCTAATTAATTTTCAAATAAATTAATATGTTTATATTTCATATCATTTTTTCTATAATTTCTGTTTATGCTGATCATCTATTTGAGTCAGGAGAGGTCAGCCACTTCAACTATGCTAGTAATCCTAACTTAATCTTATACACTACTACTACAAAATTTAGGCAAGAAGAACTATTTATACCATTTGCAAAATAATTTTCTTCAGTACCAGATGTGTACCTAAATATCATGTTAATGGATTTTGAGCACACATTTCCTTAAGGATATTCATTAGATATAACTAGTATTAGCACAATGGGTAATATTTCCTCTTTATTTTTTTTAAGGTTTTACAGTAAAGGTTGTTTGTGAGAGCACAGAGTAATATTATGGATTTCATTTCAACTGGTTTGCATTTAATGATGAAAGTGTCTAAGTTATAAACAACTTGAATATCACTTATCCAAACTCTTAATATACCCATTCTTATAATAAAAATTGTAAGATAAATGTGGCTCTTTCTAATTTTGTTAGTTATTATGCTGTAGGTCCTTAATTTAATAATTTAACAGTATGTAATTATATTATTTAGGGATTATCATTGACATCTGAAAGTGTGACTATAAGTTTTTACAATGAGAACCTTAAACAATTTGGATATTAAATATTATTAAGTTCATCTGATTTTATTTTAATTGGCCCAACTATTACGGACATTTCACTATATGGTTCAAGTTAAATTGTCAGTTTTCCATCAGGGTGGGACACATAAAATTGTTATCCTCAGCTTCTTGGATTAAAACATGATGGCACTGCTTAAAACCTTAGGTTATCTGGAAGTGTTACATATTCCCCTGGAGTAACTGTAGGATTTTACCCTTGTAATGAATTATTAATATTTTAGGGTTTACATCTATAATTTAATCACTCTAATACAATTATTTTTGTATTAATGATGCTTATTTTGATTTGGCAGTATTTGGTGGCTTAGTATAAACTAAATTTTTTGAAACTAAACATTAAATAGAAACTCATATAGAAATTTCTGAAATAAACTATTATTAAAATCAAAATATTGAAGAGGAAATTACCATTCAAAATGGCATTCAATTTATATAAATTATATATTATTGGAAATGTTTAGGTTATGAATAATTAAAGTTACAATTATTTTGTCCAGAAGTGTGGTGTTCTTCTATTTAGGTCTAATGTAATATTAATAAAACTAATACAATAAGATTAAAAGCAAAATTTTCGTTTACAATAAGTTCATAATAATATATAAATATTATTAAGACTTCCACATCATTCATTGCAACCTAAATTATAAAATAACAAAACCCATTCTAAAAAGTATTATTTAAAGCTGAAATGGTATAATGATTTCATATTGCATTTAATATTTTACATCAAACATTAACATTAGAATTGTTAGTTATGTATCCATTCTTCTGTTTTTCAATAAAATTTGTTCAATTTTACCTTTATATATTATTTTGGTTGATTTTTTCATCAAAATATTATTTAGTTAAAATTTAAATTATAAATAACATCATCTCAAATTAAATGTCTTGTATATTATATCTGAATTACTCATAAAAAAAGACTAATGTTCTTTAAGGAATCAAAAAAATTATAATCTTGAATAATATCTCTGATTAAATATTAAATAACTATAATTCTTTGAAAGACACCCTTTTTAATTAAATTAATAAATTGATTTTCTATTAAATATTATGGATCAAAATGAATAAAAAGAATATATATTCAAAGATATCTGTCTTTTATCTATATTCTGCAAAGATAACTCTTGCTAATTAGATCATTCTAGAATATATGTGGGATTTTGCATTGATTATTTAAGAGATGAATAATAATATTATAATGATGGAGGAGATGATTTTTCATAATCGAAATGCAAGAACAAGAATTGTAACTTATGGCACTTTAACTCAGAAAAGTTTAATGATTAAGTGGCTAAAAAACCAATAAACGGTATATATCCTCATAATCTATGTCCTAAAAGTTGTAAATCTGAAGATTGTAAGTATTTACATAGAGAATGGGCTCAAAAAGTGTGTTTTGATTATATTCTCAAAGTTTGTAGAAAAGCTAAATGTGAATTTACTCATGTGCGTTGGGAGGCAGATTTCTTTAAAGAAGAAGCTATATCTTGCTCAATAATTAAAGATACTACTCCAGAAAATTAGTGTGAAAAAGAAAAATGTAATTGTGGAAAACATCCTGTTTGGTTAAAAGATTATTGTGTAAGATATTTGAAGGGAATATGTCCAAATAAAAAGTGCTTAAAAAATCATACTGATTGGGAAAAGATTAATAATCGAATCAACTAAACGAATGCTGTAAAATCATGTATTGTTATTGCAAAAGAAATAAAAAAATTAGCTCAATCTATTCCAAGTTTCAATGAAATAGTATTATTGTGCCAAGAATCAGAGTTTAATCATTATAAAAAATGGTTTTAAGAATAAAATATTATTGATGTTGTATTTATTATGGATTTAACTGGGTCTATGAAACCTTGGAAAGAGATTATGCAAAAAACTATAGCTAAAATTATAGATTCATTTTTAAATTCAATTAATGGATATCAAGTTAGAGTTGCTTTTGTAGGTTATAGAGATATATGTGATGGGGATGATAAGTTAGTTTATTTTAGTTTTACAAAAAAAATTAATGAAATTCAGAATTTTATATAAAAAATAGAAGTGAAAGGAGGTGGAGATGAAGCAGAGGATGTAGTCTCTGCATTTGAATAAGCTTTAAAACTTAATTTTTCTCATCATTAAGACAGTTTACTATGTACATTTTTACTTGCTGATGCTCCTTGTCATGGAAGAGATTATCATAATATTAAATCTGATGATTTAATTGATAAAATGCCAAAAAATTATTTTGAAAATGTTTTGGAGAAATATAAATAAATAAAAAAGAATAATTTTTTATGTTGTGTAAAAATCAATAATAAAACAGATATTATGTTTGAGAAAATGAAAGCAATAATTCCATTGTTGACAATAACAACAGAAAAAAAACCTGAAGAATTAGTAGATGTAGTTGGATTTACATTAAGAATGTCTGTAACTGAATCCAAAAAATTAAAATCTTAAATTAATGATAAATTCTAATATTTTAAAGCAGATTTTGAAAAACTTAAATTAGATACTTTAGTTGCTGAATATGAGAATGAAAATTATTGGAAAACATATCATGAAATGATTGATTCAATGAAAAGAAAAGGTATAACAGGTTTAAAAATATCAATTGATATTAATGAATTAAATAAAGAAAAAGATAATTCTTCTACATATATATTTAAGGCCTTTGATGCTATCAATAATAGGGAAGTTATTCTTAAAATTCCAAAAAAAATAGTTGACAATAAAGGTCCAATTAGTAATGAAGATATCAAAGAGGCTGAAGAAATTGCAGATGTAAGATTTTACTCATCTTGCTATGCTTGTTAAATGGCATATTTTTTTAATTAAAGATTAAAAGATTATAAACTATTAAATGAAATGCAACCTCTCTTTTATGCTCACCCAATATTGTACAAATTAGATACACCATTCTATGGAATGAAAACGATTTATGGTGAAACCTTCATACAGATTAAATATAAATTTGAAAAGTATACTACAAATAGTGTATATTCTGATAAAAATAAATATTTTTATTCAGCATTTAGTCATTTTTCATTTCAAGCTAGTTAAAAAAATTTAGTCATTATGGATTTACAAGGATGTAATAATATTCTAGCAGATCCTTCAATCTAAACCGATCAGAATTGGAATTCAATTTTAGATAAAGATGATACTAATAGATAAAATAAAGGAATTGAAGATTTTATATCAATTTAACATAAAGAATGCAGTTAATTATGTAAAAAATTACAACTCTAATAAGTAAATTAAAATTCTTAAATTAATCCTAATACTTGTCCTCAAGAATTATTAAAAAATATTTATGGAATATGTTATGATTGTGATGAGTTTGTTAATTTAGAAGTGGAACCACTTGAAAATGAAAAGTATAAGAAATATAAATTTAATTGTCAGTTTTGCTTAACTGAGTCTTAAAATATATTAAATTCAGAATGCAAATGTTGTCACTATATATACTAAACTCCTATTAATAAAGAAATTAAATAATAGACAAATTTGGGGTTATGTCAAGATTGTAAAAACAAATGTATAAATCAGACTAATAAATGTCTTTATTGTAAGAGAAGTTGTCAAAAAATACTGAAAGAGATAACTATTAATAATTCACCTTATTATTTATGTGAAAATGCCTTAGAATATCTCTAAGCATTTTAATGTAATAAATGCAATAAACCATATAAAAGAAATTGTATTATTTCTATTGAAGATTATGATAAGAAATCATTTTCTTGTTGTTGATAGAATAATATTATACATAAATCAATATTTCATATTAATTTATTTGTATTTTTAGATATTTTTTATCTTAACAAGCTTATAATACCAAATTATTGGTTTAATTATTCTTATGATTTCTTTATTATCTAATTCATAAGTATTACATTCATTTTAAAAAGACTAATCATGAATCTTTACTTTATTATTTAAAAGAGATTAAGTCGAATTATTTTTTAAGTTGATTTTCCTTTTTATTTATTGATCAAATATTTTAAATGATTAAAGATCTTTATGTGATTTATTTTTAGCATTTATAAATTAATATATTTATATGCTTAAATAATAAAAAATTATTTTTTTCCCATTCCTGAACCCTACTATAAATATAGAATATTTTTGCCAAAGATTTTTATTAAAAATTTATTTTTATAACAAATTGAAATTTAAAGTTTAGTTATTATTATCGATGGTATTTTTACAATACTTTATATACATTTTTTAATTTTAGTTATTTCAAGCTTAGTCATCCAAGTTGTAATAGCTATTTCCTATACTCACTAGCATCTTTAATATTAATTATTCTTGTTAAGGTTATTGAAATAGCATTTATAATTAATTTCTTTTTTTTACAAGCTCTAATTCCTTCTCAAAATGAAGTTTTTGAATCAAAAATTAATAAAATTCCTTTTTAATCAAGACCCTTCAATGCATCCAATTAAACCCTTCAATGCATCTAATTAAAAATTAAACTAATCCTACAATAAGCATTGTAAAATTTTGCATCTAAAATCTTAGATTTTCAATTTACATATTATGCTAGCTTAAATAAAATCAACCATCTATCATTAAAATTGAAAATTCATAAATTTTAAGGTGTCTTAAATGTAATTTAAAACTTTCTTAATTACTTTAAATGATTTTGTCAATAGCAACTTACTTTTATTTCAAGTTATTTATTGTATTTATGAGTCACTCATTAAATTTAACAAAGAAAATACTATGTTTTAATAGCAATCTTATTCACTAATTATTTAACAATTCAACATTTAATAGATTTCATTTAAAATAAATACCTAATTATTAATGCATTTTTAATTTTAACTAATATTATAGAAATTTTTTAATAAATAAATGAAATTAAATAATATTAAATTATGTTCCTATTGTTAATACATATTTAATAGACACTTATAATATATAAAATAAAATCATTTTTTAAAATGTTTATAGGCAACAAATCCACTTCCTATTACTGCGCCTACTCCAACAGCTGGTAAAGCAATGGTTCCTATTCCTGCCATTGCTGTTCCTTAAGCTAAAGCAAATAAACTTCCTGCTGCTACATTTCCAACACTGGCTTAGGCAGCTGCAGCCATACTTCCTGCAACTGGCCCAATTGAAGAGAAGCCGTAAATTGCCAATCCTGCTTTAGTAACAACAGTGCCTGTTCCTGCTACAATTCCTGTTATATAGCTTCCTTGCTTAATATTTTACCAGAAGCCAGGTTTCTTTTATTATTAATCCATTTAATATTAATATTATTAATAGATAAAAAATAAAGCTTATAAAATTCAAAAAATTTACAAAATTTCGGTGCCTAATATAATAAATTTTTTCTGTTAAATTCTATTAATTAAGCAATATTATATTATATAAAATTAAATATATTAGATTAAGAATAAAAAAATATAATTTTCATAAATAATAAAATAGTATTAATATGAAACAATAGTTTAAGTATGTAATAAAGTAAATCTTATAATTGAATAAATTAAAAAATAGGTGAATTCTTTCAAATATAAAATTTAATTTTTGAATGGATCAAATAGAACCTTTAAGAATAAATAAGTATTTTTTAAATAATAAGAGAGATATCTTTTCAATAAATACAAAATTCACGTTAAATTTACAGTGAAAGAAATAATAAAATACAATAGTCTTTGATTAAAAATGTATGATTATTTACATAAAGTATTAAAGTTAATTTAGATATATATCAATCTAATTTTCATTATAAAATGAATAACTTAATGAATATATATAATTTGATATGATTATAAAAATTCAAATAAATAATGATGATTAAGATAAGCCAAATAACAATATATAATTTAAATAGTTCAGATGAGATGAAAGGAACCTTTATATTTTATGATTATAAAGAGATCATAATATTTAATTGAATAAAAGAATGCTATAGAAATTATGTTACACTAATTGAGATATAAATTCAATTTGATTAATAAATTAAAAAATAGGATATTGAATCAATAAATACGAAATAAAATTTTTAAAATGTGATAAACATCAAGAGGTTGATTTATGATAATCTTTAATCTATCAATATATAACTGAACCTTCAAAAAAGGAAAATAGTCAGATTATTTAGATATCTAAGGATTTAAGAGTGGGTGTACTCATAAATAAATGATTATTTAAAAAAGGATAAATTTGTTAGTTGTGATAAATAATATGTTATTTGATAAATATTCTAAAATATAAAATGATATATCAAAAAGTATTAGGTTTCCTGAAAGTTCGAAATTAATTTATAGAATGAGCTTATTTTAATAACTAAAACTTATTGAGATTTATCATAACCGTATTGATTCATTCTTATATTCCAATTAAAAAATATAAACTACTTATATATATATATATTAAAATTATTCACAATTTTATCAAATTCTATAAGTATAATAATATCCTTAATTAAAACTGTTTTCAAAATAATTGCCACATATATTTATTATAAAAATGAATATAGTTAGTATTATCATATTTATAGGCTTATTTTCATCCGTTATTTAGAGTTAAGGATGTAATCAAAAATGTGAAACTTGTGATAACAATAATCTTAATAAGTGTTTAAGTTGTATTCCAGAATTTAAAAGATAAATTCAAGGAGATTAATGTATATGTTAGGAAGGATATTAAGAGGATTTTCCTAATCTAAAATGCCTACCTATATGTGGAGATGGAATACTTGTTGATGGGGAAGATTGTGATGATGGGAATTATGATCCTTTTGATGGTTGCAATTAATGCAAATTAGGTTGTTAAGATAGTTGCTAGGTTTGTTAAAATGGATAATGTTATGAATGCAAAGTGAATTATATATTGGATGTTAGTATAAATATATGTTAAATAAACTGTCTTGATGATTTGATGGTAGGAAATTCATTATGTTATAATTAAGATTGTTTTGATCATTGTGTATTATGTGAATTTGGAATATGTAAGAAATGTGATGAAACAAATGGATGGTATTTGAATGAGTTTAAATGTGAACCAAAATGTGGAGATGGAATAATTGTTTAAAGTTTAGAATAATGTGATGATGAAAATATATATCCATTTGATTATTGTGATTAATGTCAATTAAGATGTCCAGATAATTGTTTAATCTGTTCAAATGGAATATGCATATAATGTATATTTGGATTTAAATTGATTTCAAAAATAATGAAATGTATACCTTTTTGTGAATATAATAACTTGATCAATTATTATGATGAATGTGTAGACAGTTTAACAAATAAGTTAATTTTATTAAATTTTAATTGTACTATTAATTGTTCATAATGTATTAATGGAATTTGTATTAAGTGTCGAATTGGATATTTATTAATTGATGATTAATGTAGACAAATATGTGAAGATAGTATTTAATTTTAAGAAGAAATATACAATAATACTTTAGAGTTATATTAATAAACTTGTTAATATTCTAATTTCATTTGTAATCATGAATGCTTATCATGTTCAAATGGACATTGTGAATTATGTAATGTAGGATTCAATTTAGTAAACAACTAATGTTAAAATATTTGTGGAGATAGTATTATTGTTGGTGAAGAATAATGTGATGATGGGAATCAGATTCAATTTGATGGGTGTTACAATTGTTAATTTTAATGTTAATAAGAATGTATTAATTGTCAATTTGGGAAATGCCTTGAATGTTAAATTGGATATGAGAATATTAACTTTATTTGCCATGAATAATGTAATAATTAAATTATTACATTTAATGAATTATGTGATGATGGTAATTTAGAACCATATGATGGATGTTTTAATTGTAATTATTCTTGTGATGAATAATGTGAGATATGTACTAAAGGTCTTTGTTAAAAATGTTATGATTTAGGATGGGAAATTAATTTAGAAAATAAGAAATGTACAACTATTTGTGGAGATTAATTAATTGCTGGGGATGAGTAATGTGATGATGGTAATGAAATTAAATATGATGGATGTTATTAGTGTTAATATTAATGTTAAAATGAATGTATTAAATGTATAAAAGGAATTTGTTATGAATGTAATGGACCTAATTGGATATTGAAAAATAATATATGTGTATGTGAAACATGTTAAAATTTATGTTAAAATGAATGTTTAACTTGTATAAAAGGACTATGTTATGAGTGTAAATCTCCAGGATGGATTTTAGATATAGATAATAATCTATGTATTTAAGAATGTGGAGAATAATGTATTGAAAATATTTGTGGAGATGGAATATTAAATCTTTAAATTGAAGAATGTGATGATGGTAATAATGAAATAAGAGATGGTTGTGATAAATGTATTTTAGAAAAAGGATTTCTCTGTTATTATGATGAGAATTTGATATATTAAGGATGTTCTAGATGTTAAGATTTGAATTGTCTTTAATGTAATGATATAGATAAATAATAAATTTGTTAGAAATGTCAATAAGGTTATTTTTTAGATGAATTTCAACAATGTTCATAATGTGATTAAATCTGTGTTGAATGTAATCAAAATTATAAGAATTGTACAATTTTTAATTCACAATATTTAAATGAATAAAATTAGCATAGATGTAATTTACATTTAGGATCCCTTAATGATAATAATTTATATGAATGCATTTCAAAATGTGGAAATGGTGTTTTAGATGTTTATGAATAATGTGATGATAATAATAGAGAAATTTTAGATGGATGTAATGAATTTTGTCAATTAGAGGAAGGCTATTTATTCAATCTATTAACTAATTCTTTATAAATAGAACCATATATTAAAGTAGACAAAAAATAATCCAATAATAATTTTTATTCACTTTTGATAAATTAAAATTAAGAATCATTAAATTCATCAAGTTTAGTAGTCAATATTGACGGATTTTTATAAATAGATTATAATTATAGTGTCATTGAAAACAATAATTAATTAGATTTATAATTTTAATTTAATAAAACAATAGAACCTACTAATTTAATACATATATCTATTTCTTATAAATAATAATATCAAAAAAGAGAATTATAAGAAGTAATAGTTCCTAATAGATAAGTTTATGTAAATGAAGAACAAAAACTTTAAGGTGAGAATATGGCTTAAGGTTATTAAACATTATTTTCTGCTTAAATATATTTAGCACCTCTAGCAATAGTGTTTGGAGGATTTTAATTTTTTTTGGCTATCCTTGACATTATGAGTTGGATAAATAACTTTTATTTTTTAAATGTTAATTATCCAGAGAATGTAAGGATTATATTTTTATAAGCTGAATGGAGTAATATCATTAATTTACCATCTTTGCAAATCTTTAATAAACCATATGATAATTATTATTTTGAAGCCCCCATTAAATTTTATGAAAAAGACATAGATCCTATGCTATTTAACAATATATAAACTCCAATAATTTTTGTATTCTAAGTGTTATTTACTTATCTCTTTAGTGTGATATTTATAAAGTTAATTGAACAAAATTACAGAAAAAATAGAAAATAAATGTCTAAGTCAACCATCTTTTAATTGGGTAATGATAGATAGAATTAAGAAACTAATACTTCTCATTTTTAATATGAGTTGGATATACCAAAATCACTTTAAACTTTCTTTATAAAATGTATTTATTTAAAGAGTAATTTAATGGCTAATTTAATCAGATCCTTTTCTTTAAGTTATTTAGATATTACTTTAGCAGTTCTCCTTTAAATTACTAATTAATAAACATCTTATAACTTTATTGTTAAAATTAATGTAATAGTTGCTTATTTATTTCTTATATTAATTTTATATCTTATTTATACATCATATATAATATCTTAAGCACATCAAGTTAAATTAGAGAATAAATTGTTTTTTTCAAGATATTGTTGTTTTTATGAGGAAATGAAAACTGAATCCTAAACTGCAATGACATATTCTTGTATAAATTTAATAAGGAAAACTATTTTTATTGTTTCAACTATTACTTTATATTCCTATCCAATATTCTAAACATTATTATGCTTTCTATCATGTCTATTAAATTTACTATTATTATTGTCAAGTAATCCTTTTAAAAGCAAAAAATAATATAT